CTTGCGCTCTTGGGCTGCTCCTTGGGGAATCGAGGCTCTTACCCCCAGGCAACGTTTGCAAGTTCAGATTGCGAATGTTCTTTTATGTCGCACATCGAATTGCTTTCAGTTTGTTCAGAAGTAGGTGCTCGTGGGTGGGGAGAGCGCCCTGCTTCCCCCACTTGGGGGCCTAGAGCAGTACCCTCTTGGAGCTGTGAGCCTGTTGAAGCTCTCGCTAGAGCCCCATGTGCCACGCATACGGAGTTTGATCAATGTGAATTTGGCCAAGAAGCAGGTATGGCACCCGCAGGTATTCTTGCCAAACGTTTTGAGACTCTGCATGACATGTTGCTGGATACTCCTGGATGGGGGCAAGTGTGGTCACGGACCCAGAGCTCACTCGACTTTGCCCGGATGGGATCCCGTCAAGAAGTGTTTTAGGACTGCCCCCAAGATTTACCCTGAAACTAGGTGTAAAGTTCCAGGTCCGGCTCTCTTGGATGCTGTCTTGCCCTCTGTGGAGAGTTGTTTGCTGGATGCAGATCAGGCAGAGACGTTTGCACTGCGTAGGTTGTTTGTTGGTTCTATTTCGGTTTCATCGGAGGCTCCAGAAATGGGTCCTGATTTTGCGGTGGACAGGTCTAAGCGAGTAGACTCTGCAATCGCACGCATCAAAAAGGCTTCAGATCCAGGTTCCACAAGTTTGCCGATTGATGTAATGAAGTTCAGGAGCTTGAGAATTTACATTCAATAGCCATCATGTCTGCAATTGAGGCTCGGCTTTGATTCCGTCGCAGGAGAGCGAAAATGGGCCAATTCCTTATGGTGTGCTTCCCCCTCCGACCTCTCCTCGTCTCCCACAGTCTGTGCTCTCAAGAATTGCGGCGAACCGTGCTGAAGCCCTTAGGAGGAGAGCCCGAGGTGCAGAGGCTAGACGAATCCCCATTGCTTATATCTGCCTTTTTGGAGAAGAGTCTAAGCACACATCCAGACAGGATGTTGAGCTCGTGCAGGCTGATCTACATCGGTGGTTTCGTGCTGCTACGCACACCTGTTTGTTCGCTCCCATGCGTGTGTTTATCCATCATCATCACCTGCAACTTCACCATCATGCATCACCACCACCAGCAGGGCGTCCCCCTGTTGCACGGCCGTGGGGTACAGGGGCTTCCCCCTGCGGCGACAGTTGAACAGGGAGGATCTTTCTTCAGCTGGGTTGACAGAGCACGGGGGTCCCAAGTTTTCGTCCTGCCTGGCGGTACTGGTGACGCTTAGCCAGCCCTGGAACTCAGGTCGAAGGGTTCCGCTAGGCAGGCGTTTGGTGGACTTGGGTCTGCCAGTTCACCCCGACCGTCGCCCTGTCCCTGCATTACTGCTCACTTGCGGTAGCCAGACGCTCGCAGTGGGTTCGACCTGGGGTCCCTGTGGACGTCCTTGTCACTACTGCGTGTGTCGGTGTCCCCCTGTATGCACGGCCGTGGATCGCTGGAGGGAATTCTCCCTCTGCGGCGATAATTGCACAGGGGGGCCGCCTATCTTGAGGAGGGACTGGGCACGGGGGAGGACTTGGTTTAGCCAGTCCGCCTCGACAGCTGCCCAGTCCCCCCCTCTCCTTCAGCTTTTTTGTCGTCCTGCTTGGCGGTGCTAGTGACGCGCAGCCAGCCCTGGAACTCGGGCCTAGGGGTTCCGCCAGGCAGGTGAAGTTGGACTTGGTTCAGACAGTCCACCTATACAGTCGTCCCGACTCTCCCCCTCACCTATGCCATCAGTGTGCATCGAGCCTAGAAGCGGCACCTCCACGGAGGTAGCGCTGGGGACTGTTTCTGCGTGGCGAGTGGTGGTGGACTGATTCCTGCCTTGGCGAGTGGGCTGGGCACGAGGCACGAGGGCGGAAGTGACGTGGTTTTGCCAGTCTTGACCGTTGCCCCGTCCCCCACCCCTCCCATCATGCCAGCATCTGTCCGTGCTGGTGGCACCGAGCGGCCGCTCAGAGCCGCCCCTTCCTCCCCACCGTCCATACCGTCCCGCCACCCCCGCCGACCGTGAAGGAGGGATTGGTGAGGGATGCAGAGAAAGTTTTGGAGTCTCTGGCATAGGCCTGGCTTGTGCAGCACAGAACTGTTTCTGTGCTCCGCTGGATTATGCCGTGTTCTCCCGCTTTATGTGAGAATGCAGGCAGCAGCAGCAGCATGCCGTCTTGCTTCCCTCGCTGGCCCCCCCACTCCCCGACGTCACCAACTTCACTTCAGGCGCGCCCCGCGCGCCTGCATATGAGGAGGAAGGTGGAGGACGCGGGGAGGAATAATGATATGGGAAGGCTTCGTGTGGGCGTCGTGTGCCCGTCGTTCTTTTGCCCGATCTTCCATAAACGAGGTATGTCGTTGTGGGCCCTTCAGAGAGGCCCCTCGAGTGCATAGGCCTGCGTTGAGCAGGCCTGCGGCCTGTTGGGGCACCCTTGGCCCCGACACGCCCCCGGCAGCAGCTGACGGCAGCTCTTTCGCGGACATCCGATCCGATCCGATCCTCCTCGGGGGGAGGACGAGTGTATCCCTGGGGCTGCTCCCTTTGAGGCCGCGGGCTGCTCCCTGGGGCTGGGCTGGCTGCGGTCATCGTGACATGGGACGCTGAACGAGGAACGAACCACTGGTTCCACCAGGAACCACCGAGGTTCGATCGTGGAGTGTTTTGAGTATCTGGCGCTTCTCGTGTCCAGGGCTGGACGCAGCTCGAAAAACTGACCAAGATGGAACTCTGGAGGGGCCAAGGGATATTTGATGAAAGGATTATGGTCGAAGCCCTCGTCGGTGAAGTATCATTGGTTTGGGAAACTTCTCCCTAGGCGGCGTATCTGTGAGGGTTCTCGGAATGTCTTCTGGCGCCTGGTGCGGGGTGCTGGGCCCCCGAGATCGCTGGCCCATCGTGGGCCCCCCCCCTCTCATCGTGCCGTCACGCATGGGGCTGTGAGCTAGGAGCGACAATGTTTGGTCCGAGGTAGCCCGACTTCGCGCATCGCGCCCTGCGATGAAAGAGGCTCTTCGCACCCTCGCGCCGCCCCCTTGGAGGAAGGGCAGCCGCTATGGCCTAGACCGCGACGCGAGAACCGCGATCATCTTCGCGTCCTCGCGGGGCGCATAGCTTTCTACTTCGGACACGGACAGATTCCCCAACCAGGATGTGAGGAACGGCGCGGATGGCAGAGCGCTTCCTGAACCCAACTTGCTCTTTCAACGCGTCGACTGTTCTGTTTTGGGGCACACGCCACGCGAGACCACACTGCCAGCAGCACCGAAGCCCTGCTGGCAACCCGGACGGGCACTTCTCAAACAAAATAAAATTGAGCTCTTGCTTTCAAGGCTCGCCGTGCACAGCCGACGCGAGCCCCGCTGGTCACAATTTCAAACTTTGCCACAAGAAACCTTGAGCGGGGAACGGAACCCTTTTTGGCCCAAGTTGCGCCCACGCTGACGAGGAGCGCCCGAGGGAAGACACAAGGAGGGGCCAAGGGAACCACGAGCCCCTTCACCAACCCCCACAGGCCCCACATACATAACAAAATCAACCAGCCATGGCCATGAACATTGCTGGCTTTCCTTTCCGATGGGAAGGAGGCTCCACGACGGAACTTCGCATCCAGGAGGAAGAGGAGGAAGGCAGGGCGGCAGGAGGGAAGGATGATCAGCACTGGCTCTTGTGTCAGGGTCTTAAGGGAGCCTGGTTCTGCCTTCAAAGTTTCAACTGTAGGCCTAATCCTGCGCTCCTCCGACCTGCGCTTCTCCCTGGGACGCCCCCCAGAGTCACACCAACTCCGGTCAAAAAATTACCCAGGGCCATCGAAAAGCCCCCTCCATCATCCTTCTCCCTGCTCGCTCCTTGGAGTCGTCCCACACCCTCCTAAGATAACCAAGAGCTAGCGGGAACCCCCTGTCATCCTCATTGCATTATTTCCCTCTCCTCTTTCTCCTCCTTCGTGCCCTTCTTGTTATCATTGTCCTCCCTCCTCTCTCCTCTTCCTCCTCCTCCCTCCTCCTCGTCCTCGTCCTCCTCCTCCTCCTCCCCGGGCAATACGTGTGCCAGAAAGGCACCTGCCAAAACCAACGTTGACCGAGCGAGCCTCCTCCCGTCTATGAAAGAGCGAGGCGGCCATCTAGACAGAACTTGCGACGGTCTTCAAAAACCAAGCGCACTGCAGTGCCATTGCGACACCCCTTCAAGAACAGGGGCCTTCCAACGCCCGCTTCAAACGTTGCCCCCGATCGTTCCTTCCATCCCGCTCGCCTCCTCCACCCCCCGACCGCGCCCGAGTCTGAGAATATCAATGGTCGCGCGCTGTCTCCATTGATCTGTCCAGCCCCGACACACCAAAAGCAACGCGCTTGTACGAATGGTAAGATTTGAGAAGGTGAACTGCACTTCGGTGGGCGCGGAAAGTTGTAGGACAATCAGAAATGTGTTTGCCGCTTGTTCTGGGGGGGTCCTTCGCCATCCGTGCCTCAATTCACAAACCCGCCGTCGCTGAGCCAGGCGATGCCGTTGGCTGATCAAGCGTCGGAGAGACGAGGCAAATTAGGAAGACGAGACGTTGAAAAAAGCTACCGAAAGACTACGACCTGACGGCTCGACTGACTTTCAGGAGAGTTCCCACCACGTGGCTCCCGGGGTAGGTCCACTAAGTCACAGGTCGAGGACCAGCTAACTGCAGATTGGAAGAAGCAGAGAAGAAAGTGCACCAGGTAGGGGCGGGGGGATAACCAGAGAAGCAGGGCAAACAAACTATGAGAGGACGGAGGGGAACTGCGGGATGGAAGGACGGAGGAGGAAGGGGAGATTAGAGAGAAGGGATGAGGAGGAGGGGGTATGCGGGTGGGGGGTAGGAGCAGAGAAGCGATACGCAAGACAAAGAGGAATGTGCAGGAGGAGATACACATGAGCTGCGACTCGCCTCAGCACCTGCGAGACTAACTACCCCCTCGGGGGGCACCCCCCCACTGAACTGCAATTTCTCCCCCTTTCTGTCCACTCGCCTCCAAGTCGATGATATCCATATCGTTGAAGCACTTGGCGCCATCGTAGCCACCAAACCTGGCCAACGGCGAGAGCCGTGGGCGAAGCCATGCCACCAAGAGTATTGGCAGGCACTGATGATATCGGCAAGCGGCAAAGAGAATGACTGTACTGAAAGGTCCCGCTAGGTGACGACACCAATGCTGGCAATTAGCAATGATCAACTCGTGCCGTTTCTTTGTCCCGCGACGCCTGGAGGTCGGGGTCCTTCTCCTCATCCTCCTCCTCCTCCTCCTCCTCCAACTCCGCCTCCTCCCAGAGGTGTCAGGACCAGTACCCATCCTCCTCCCCAGAGCTCAGACGAGTAATGGCGACTGGAGCTCGCGACCTCTTTCCTGGGACCGGTTTTGCATCCTGGATCGTCTGCATTGACAGCATTGGGGCCCTCAAACGGCCTTCAGAAGCAGAAAAAGTTTGGAACATCAATACGCCATGTCGATTGTTGTTCGAGTCGTTCCAAATGTCTTGGGTCCCTCCCTCGGACATCGACCCTTAGACCGAGGCCACACCGATCCATGATGTCCTCCACCCTGTCGTTCTTCCCTCTCCTTCTCGCCCGTACTGGGCAGAGAACCAGACGGCCAGCTTTCCGTGCCGCGTCCAGCCGTGGCCACGAGAAGCTCCAGAAACGCCCAAAGACCTCAGATACGAGGACGCCGACGTTGACCTCGTCGTCGTCATCGTCGACCCCTGGCGGCAGTTCGGGGCTATCCAAGCAACCCCTCAACGATCTCGGCGAACCGCGGCTTCTGCAGGGCATCCCGAGGCTGGAAACCGTCGAGGACCAAAGACAAACGCCAGAAAACTTCAAAACCTCGAACGTTGCCCCTGAGCCTATCCCCTTCTGACCTTGCCTATGACCGCTTCGTCCAAGTCCGGGCCAATGGTGTGGCTGTTCAACGGTGCGATGGGGAATCTGGCTTCTGGAAATGCACGCAGCAAGCACACGCCACACTTTCCTACACTTCAGATCTACGAATGCATCGAGTGAACACAGCGCAACGCAGTGTAGGAAAGCGCGGGCTATTACCTACACCTGGTTCAGCCACAAACCAGTCCCACCTGCAATGCCGCACGCTCGATTCTGGAGCCCCCAGGAGCCCCCCTGGGCCCCGTGAGGTGCTCTGCATTGGAAAACCCCGCCGTTACGGAGAACACCGTCGGCGGGCCCCCGGGCTGCTGCGCCGCCGCCGGGCCAGAGCGGAACATGTACAGCTTGTGCGCCAGGCGCGTCAGCGTGTGGCACGCCCGGGCCGACGGCGGGGCACCCGAGGTCGGGGCCTCGCGGGGGGGGGGCGACTCCCTCGGGGCCTGCACACAAGATCGAGGAGGAGGGCCGAGGATCGAGAATCGAGTAGTGCGAGCCCACCACAACTGTGAGAAACCTGTCAGGGCTAAGAGCGCAGGAACTCCCGGGAACGGTTTTCGAGGCCCTCGCCCCAGGAGTGCCCCGAGGGACCCCCCAAGGAAGCTCCTCGAGGGCCCTCAGAATCAATAGTCAATAGGTGGCAGACCACAAGATGACCCGAAAACAATCCCCAAAAGCCTCAAGATAGCCCCAAGATGGTCCCGGACAGGCCCAAGCGGGCCTCCAGAGGCTAAAATGTATGTCATTTTCCTTCGATTTTGGAGGGATTGTGGCGGCAGCGAATCTTCGAGCTCCCGATCACCGAAGACGACCCGAGAGGCCCCCAAATCGCCCCAAGTAAGACCAAGAGGCTCCCAGGACGGCCCCAAGACGCCCCCAAAACGAATCAAGGCCTCCCAAGAGGACCCCAAGAGGTCCCACAACTACCGCCAAGAGGCCGCTGAGAGGCCTCCCAACGGCTCCAAAAAACCTCCCAAAGAGGCGTCTTGTCCAAGACCCAGTTTGGTTTCTACGATGCACCAAAGATCCATCGAGAGGCCTTGTCATCCTCCTCCACCTCCTCCTTCTCGCTCGCTACGGGCACGCCAACGAAAAGCACCAGTGATACCATATGGGCCGACGGATTTTATGTTTGTTGCTGACCCTGCACTCCGCGCTACCACGGTGCGGGACTAGCATTGTCCGCCCAACGTCTAGCCGAACAAGGTGGACATTGAGGCACATGACGATGGAAGGAGGAAAATGTGCCTACCGACGCCTCGCGGCCTACGTTCCTCCGTCTGCACCGCAACGCTGTTGTCAATCAGCAAAGCGGTGCGATCGGGAGCCACGAGGAACAGGGCGGAGGACGAAGCGGAAGAGGAGCAAAGCAGAGCAGACTCCCAGGACCCAACCAACGAGCATAAGGAAACCCGTTTTTCGCGTGTTGTGTCGCGAAAGCGCTTCTCCATCGAATTAATGCGACGCGCCACTTGAAAAGGCGGATACAGTGAGAGCGTTGACCTAGGGAACCTCAAAAATAAACAACGAGGCCCCTTCACATCAAACTTGGATTTCCCATGGAAAACATCTGGGAAACCCAAGGCAAACTGTACAACAATCAGAGACCACCGAGCTCCTCCCCATCGAAAAGGGTTCCTTCTTCAGCGCCCCGTCAGAATATTAATCAATGAACAACGATGGGCAAGCAAGCCAACGTGCGGTCTGAGCTCAAGCAAGCCTGTCTGAAACGGCCAGTCTACAGATTCGCCGTTTCGACGCCAGCCACGCGGGAGGACGATGAAGAACAGCAGAAACGACCAGGCGGCTCGGAGGCTTCATCAATGTATTGCAGATAGTTACTTACTCTTGTACAGAGTCGGCAGCGTGCACAAGAGAAAGGAAATGCTTGAAAACCGCTAGTGTAACACACAAGCTGGCTTAAAGTATGGGGAGTCCTCCCCTCTGTGTTTATGCAACTCGAACCAAGGTGGTTCACATATATGAACGCATGAACTGAAATAGCGCAAGAGAGAGAAACTATCGGATACCATCGCCCTCGCACCATGGCGAGCATCGTAAAAGACGCCGGCTTCGGAACTCTGGGCAGCTGCCGCGCTCCGGATCTGGGATTCAGACCGACAGCGACCGCGAAGATGCAGGAAGGCAGGTGGGCGCGAAGCAGCCATGGAGGACACGCGGCCGTCGCAGGGCTGCGCGCGTTTGCGTGCCACTTGCAGACCGACCCGAGCGTCGGCCCAAGGCTGTGCATCTTCGTCTCGCTTCATTTCACATTGGACCAAGGTTGTCGCCCACCCACCACCGGCTCAGACATCAAAGAAGAAAATCGCCCGCAGGGCAACAATACCAGCCTCCAGCGCAATTTACTCGGCGATGAATGCGGACCCCGCGTCCGCGACGCAACGCCCAGCTCCATAGTGCAAGATCTTCTCGGACTGTGGGTTGGCGGGGTAAGCGCATATAATAATGCCCGACGCGGCCGCCGTCTCTCCGCGCAGTGCGCCATCAACGCGCAAGTGAAGACTCGCTTCCTGGCCCGTCAGGGCGCGGGTCGCCCCCCCCCCCCCCCAGTCGTGCTCAACATCCAGTGCGTGATTCGCGGCATGGTCGGCAGTCGCATTGAAGTCTCGTGGGCCCCGCTCGACGAACCCAGCCGCGCCCTGCCGCGGGCGCCACCCATTGCCAACAAAAGCATGCGCATGTCCAGCATTGCGGATGCACGTGGGCCGTGCGCTCTGATCGTCACATGCTGACAGTCCCGCGATCATCTCTTGCACCTGCTGGTTATCTGTCTGGAGCCACAGGCGCCTGCCCCGGCCGCCCCATTCAAATTCTTGGGCGTTTTGTCGCGGCGGCGACGCCCCCCGCAATGCAGCGCCCAACTCGACGGCGATATCGCGGCGGCAGGCACCGTCTGGAACGCCGGCGGCTAGCGAAGGAAGCTTCCGCGCCAATGCCAGTCGTCCCAAACAAACGCGACATTCGCCATCCACTTGGAAAAAGAATTACGATGTGCTCTGCAAGCCGATCTCCACCTGCAGCACCACGCAGCAACAACAGGAACATCCCAGTCCGGCGGCTGGCGCCCACAATTCCGACGCATTAAACCCGACTCCCGCCTCTTCTGCTCAGGAGTCAAAGCCTTGCACGCGCCCCGCCGCCCTGCGCGCCTGCACCCCTTGAGCGCCCGCGTCGGACTGTCGCTGTTCCCAGCGGCGAAGGGGGCGCCTCGGCCACGAAGGGTCCAGCGGGAGAGAAAGGTCGCGCCATGTCTGCGGGCCCTCATTTCCAGCTGCCTTGGCGTTCGAAACGGGCAACCTGGGGCGCTTCCAGCATTCCGCCGACGGAGCCGAAGAGCCCGCCGAAAAAATTGCATCTCCCGCGTCCGGAAAACTTTGTAAGATGCTCGCAGTTAAATGTCGCGTCTCTGAGGCGCGCGCCGCTGAGTTCCCCGCCGTGCCCCGCCGCGCCCGGGGCCTCGACTACATTGGAGTAGCTTTGCACTTGAAAAGGCGCCGGTGGACGTAGTGCGACGATTCGGCGCGCGCCAAGTTGCGATGCGCTCTCGTCCAGGCGCCGCCGCCCCTGTCGATTGCGGCCCCCGAAAGTCCACGCCCCCCTTCTCTTGGCACCGGGGCGCCGCGCCATCTTCGCGAGCGCGCAAGCCGACAGTGGGCGAACCAGGCGCGGTTCCACGCGCCGTAAATTCCAATGATTCCAGCTTCCATGAAAAAATGCTTCACTAAAACCGGCCCCAGCACGTGTCCGGCTATGTCGCGTCGCGCCATTGGATATCTGCCGCGCCCGATCGAGGCCGCCGGCGAATCGCGATGTCCGCCCGCACGGCGCGAACAAAAATATGGCCCTCTTCGCCCGGCCCTTCGTCGCGGACAAATCCGCGCCCCAGGCCGCGCCATTGATCAGCGGGCGGTTCCAAAGGGCGTGCCAGAACTGTGCGAAATTCATCTGGCATCTCTATCCCGCCTTGCCCACCGCTTTTTCTGAAAGGGAAAAATTCGGCTCGCCCGGCCGCGGGGGGATTGGCGCGAGCCCGCGCGCGCGAGAGCCCCCGGGCATGCAGCCGCGCGACACGGGCGCCCACCCCATGGCACAGCAAAGCTTCGCAAATCATTTCGCGCCCCATTGTGTCCAAGGTTGTCTTGATTTCCTCAGCTGCAACTGCCGGCGGCCCCCCCCCCGAACGCGCGCGCAATGGCATGCTTCCCGAACCGAGCCAATCACGTCCAGCACGGACGCTTCTGGACGGAAGCCGTAGAAATGAATTCTACCCGGCCAGAGTTGTGCACGAAGCGGCGGCTGCGCCGATCTCAAGAGCCACTTTGGCAACGCTGCTGACTTGCCAATCCATCCAAGACCATTGATGCACGATGCCATCTGCGTCCTGCGGACCCCGACAAACTCCATGATCTCCCAGAACAGCGAAACATTATCAGGGCGACCCCTGGCAGCAAGCTCCACGAACACGTCATGACCGTGCGCCGCCGCCATGAAGGAGAGCTACATTTGGATGTCGGGGGTGTTCAGGTCCATGCCTGCCGCCGGGCCATTGCTTGTCATTGCCCAAACCCGCCAACGCGTTGAGAAGATGAACCCAGGGCGACCCTATGATCGAGCTCTTGCAAAACAGTTCAATGTGCGCTTCACTCCGAACCGCAACCAGAAAATAGGGGGGGCGAACGCGCGCTCGCGAAGGCATCGATGGCACAGACAGCGCGCCGCGACGCAGAACTGCCCGATGTGGGCAGAACAGCAAACTGCCAACAGCAACGCCCAAGAACGCCAATCTGCTTGCAGAATCGACTCAGAATGGCAATCTGCGCACGGACGCGCATCAAAACAGCGCTCTGAGCATGGGAAAGCGCCCGAATGCCAGCCCGCTTGCAGAACGGGCCCAGAATTGCAATCTGCGCACCGACGCGCCTCAGAACAGCTGTCTGCGCACAGAGACGCCCGAGAACGTTCATCTGCTTGCCGAGTCGGCGCCGAAAGCCCGACGATGGTGTTCTTCCGTCGACGGCGTCAGGGGCGCGGCTGACGCGGCGCCCGACGATGGCGGCGCGCAAACGTCGCTTGGCGCGCAAACGTCGCTTGGCGCGCTGTTTGAGCCACTCCATCTGCTCCTTGGCGCGCTTCGCGAGCCGCTCCTCCTCTTCGCGGGGAGCGTTCGTCGCCGCGCGGAAAGGCAAGATGACGAAGTCGAAGACGCTGACGGAGACCATCAGCACGCGCTCAAATTCACGTCGGTCTGGAGACATGCCGCCCGCAGAGTTCGCTGCGAGGGCCGCCAGCTGGGGCGCGGACATCGGGGCGTGCGCCAGCCTGGCGATCAGCTGGGCGCCATTGTCGGCGCCCTCGTTGCAGGGCCTGCCCGGCGCCGCGACTGCGGCGCAGC